TGTCATTATTTCAGGCATAGAGGAGGACACTGAGGAGACGCTAGTGGATGTGCTGGCATCACTTGTTCCGGACATAGAGGCATCAACCTTCACTGCAGCAGACCGACTCGGACGACCAGGAGGTGATCGACCAAGGCTGATCCGCGCCAAGATGACAGCCACCACCAAGGCCAAATTGATGGATGCGCGCTTTGGCTTGAAGCATGGTACGAACCCAGTTTACGTAAACCACGATCTAACTATGCAACAGAGAGAGGCCCGTCGAAGTCTCCTGCCGAAGTACAAGCAGCTCCGTTCACACGGTGTGAAGTGTTTCCTTCTCCGTGATAAAATCCTAGTGGATGGCAAGCCCATTACAGAAGAGAAGATCATGCAACTCTTGATGGCCCCAGGTCAGAGCAGTATGCAAGGATAGGATCCTCTGGGAGCTCCCAATCAAGTAAGAAGTAAAACCCCAAGTAATATCCACTCTGCTTGTCTCCTTAAATACTCTGCCCATGACCCACTTGTAGTAGCACACATAAACATATGCAGCCTCAGAAACAAAACTCATGAAATTCAACAACTATTGTCTGACCATAAAGTTCACGTCCTATGCATTACCGAGTCTCACCTGGACTCCACTGTTAGCGATGCTCGCCTTAACATACCTAACTTTAATGTTTTCCGCTGTGATCGCACTATACATGGTGGCGGTGTCTGCATTTATGTTCATTCTCACTTTGCTGGAACCGTAATCCAACGATCTACAGGATCCACTCTAGAGATATTAACTGTCCGTATCCGCCTTGCTACCAAGCCACGTGCAACAGACATTAGTGTGTCCACCTTGTATCGCCCGCCGTCTGCCACAGTGAATTTCTGGGACCAGTTGAGCTCTGAACTTGATTTAGCCCTTCAAACTCCGAATGCATTAATCCTAGGCGACTTCAATACTGATGTCCTCCAGCCAACGACTCCAGGATATCGCCATCTACAGCGTGTCTGTGCGGAGCATCACCTCAGAAATGTTATCACTGAACCCACTCGTTTAGCACGCACTTGCCTAGATCTTGCTCTGGTTTCAGACGGCTCCCCTGTAGTCAAGGCGGAAGTAGTCTCAATGAACGGTGTTAGTGATCACGATCTCATCATTGTCCAATGTGCCTATCAAAACCTTGAGCCCATTCCTGCGCACACTCACAGGCTGATTCGGAAGCCTGCACCCCATTCTATGGACTTTGACCAATGTGGCCAGGAAATCAGTGAAAGTTTCAGAACTTCGGAGTCGCCCACCAGCCTGGACGGTCAAGTGAAGCACTTTTCCAAGTGTTTGAGACATGTTCTGGACAGAAATGCCCCGATCACTCAGCTCAAGGTGTCTGGATTTGGCAGGCCTCGTCGGCAACCATGGGTTACGTCACACTTGAAAAATCTTCTTCAGCTTCGAATAAACTTGCACAGGAAATTACGAAGGAACCCAACCGACGGCCCCCTCCTCCAGCAGTACCGGGCAGCACGGCGCGAGGGAACCCTCTTGAATAAGAAACTCAAAACAGAATACTGCGTGAAGGCCTTCAACACCCACAAACGCAACCCCAGAGCCCAATGGCAAATCCTGAACAAGCTTGCAGGACGAGAAAAAGTCAAATCACTACCTAAGGCGACTATATCCGACCTGACAGCCACATTTGCAACCGTAGTTTGTGATCCTGCAAGACCGTCTGAACTTGTTCTACCCAGCCCACCAGTCGACATGCCCACTCTCAACGAGTTTACGCCAGTCACAGTAGAGTATGTTGAAGATGTCTTGAAGTCATTGAACAGCCACAAAGCACAAGGTTCCGATGAAATACCACCATGTCTCCTCAAAGGATGCCGCACAGACATCGCTGGCCCACTCACCGCTATCATCAATAAGTCTCTGCATACAGGCCAAGTTCCAAGTAGTTTTAAGCATGCACACGTGTGCCCACTCTACAAAGCTGGCGACGCAACTATTGGCTCCAACTACCGACCAGTGTCACTTTTGCCAGTGATATCCAAAGTGCTTGAGAAGGTAGTACACCGACAACTTGTAGCATTCTTCGACAATCATCCGGAACTCGGTGCATTACCGGAGGAGCAGTTTGCTTACAGGCGCAATCACAGCTGTGAAGACCTTTTGGCGTATGCAATAAACGACTGGCAGTTGGCCTTGGACAAGAAGCAGCTGTGTGGAGCCATGTTTGTGGACATGAGCAAGGCCTTCGACCGCGTTCAGCATAGCAAGCTCGTGCAGGAACTGGCTTCAGTTGGCGTCGGAGGTGTGGCATTGCGTTGGTTCGCAGACTACCTTACTGGGAGAACCCAGCAGGTCGTTGTCGGCGATGCCCGAGGCAGTACAGAGCCCTGCTCACGTGGTGTACCACAAGGCTCCGTGTTAGGCCCCTTACTTTTCTGCATTTATATCCGGCGTACCCCTCAGAAATTTCAACATTGCCGTGCTCTCCTGTTTGCGGACGACATCGCGTTCTACGTCATCGGTCGCAAGGCTTCAACCGTGCTCAGAATGCTTCAGACAGATCTCTTGAATCTGGAGGACTTTCTCAGCGAGCGGGGACTGGTGCTGAATCCCAAAAAGTCTCAGCTACTGTTGCTCAGACGACCTACTGCGCAACTGGACGTGATCCCCAGCATCACCTGCAAAGGCACCGTAATCCCCGAGTCCAGCCATGTTCTGTACCTTGGCCTCCTATTGGACTCGTCGCTCAGCTTCGAGCAGCAGGTTGAGCGTGTGTGCGCAAAGGCACAGTGCAAGGTTGCCTCATTCCGCCACGGGCGCCGCGATGTCTCCATGACCGGCCGCCGCATGTTTTACCTGACAATTGTCCAGAGTACCTTGGACTATGCCAGCACATGTTATGTTCACTGCTTGTCTGCTAAACTCAGAGACAAACTTGAGTCAACCAGCAATAGGTGCCTAAGGCGAGTGTTTGGCCATGATCAGTATACTTCTATCGATTTCATTCTCACCAAATATAACCTGTATACTTTCTCTCGCCGTGTAAACTTGAAGCTGTTTGTGTTTGTTTTTAGGTGTCTATCTCGTTGCACCAGTCCTCTTTTAAGCACGATATTTACCCCCCGCTCTGCATCATGCCGCACAAATGCTGCTACCCGCGGTCAAGCTTCAGCTGCTCTGAACCTACCCAGAGCTACGTCTCGTTACGGCCTGAATGCTATTTCATTTTTGGCAGCAGACAGATGGAACATGCTTCCACCTGGATGTCGTCAAGCTAAGCCCCTTTCTGCATTTGTCACAAGCACCAAGTCATTCCTAGGGTTCCCAGTAAAAAGGCAACGCCTGTTGGGAGTTCCCTAGTAAAATAATAAATTCTACTACTACTACTACTATGCCGGCATAATCCGCCAAGGGCTAGTGGACACACCCATTCCCATACTCCATAGCGCTGCACATCACATCCGAACCAGTTCCGTTATTTTTTACAACGTTTCGGCACTTGGCCATCGTCAGGTAATAACAATGAAATCGTGGAAGCCACACAAGAGCAGTATTACATGTATACGCAGAGTGTAGCGCCAAAAAAATTATTTTGTAGTCTGTAAACAATGCCAATGGCAAGATCTACGAGGTACATGTACATGTATATACATGTACGTGGTCTGTGCATAAAATAATAATATTTTTTATCACTCCCTTAGTATTGACTCACATAGATTTTTGCCATACCTAAGCAGTCAAATATTCCTGCATATTTCACTCCTTAGTTAGGGCTATATTGACCGCTTATATTCGACTCCTTTTTAGCGATTGAATACAATGCTTTGGTCAGTCGTGATAAATCTAATACATTGACTTCGTACTTGGTCAGTATAGGAAATAAAAGACCTCGTAAAAGACCTTGGCTTCGCCTCGGTCTTTTACTCGGATTTTATTTCCCATATTGACCTCGTACTCAGTCAATACTGCGCTACTGACTGCAAGCAACTGTCAAGACTGTAGATCTACTGAGTGTCAGAGTCAGATCAGAGCGCTTTGACTTTGAGACTTGACGAGTCCTACTCCTCGTCTCCTACTCCTACTACTACGAGTCCTAGTACAGTCCTAGTCTAGTCCTCAGTACTACAGTAGATCTACAGACCAGTTGCTTGCAGTCAAAGTCTACAAAGTACAAGCGCTCATATAATTATATTATTATTATAGAGCTAGGCTAGCTGAGGCTGAACTCTACACAGTACAGTGGAGTCTACATAGTACAGTGGAGTCTACATAGTCATTGTGGATCTGGTTTGAAGAAGCGCGCGCGCAGTAAAAGGTTTGAGTCTGACTGAGCGCGATTCTTTCTGCGCGTGATGAATGCTGCAGCCTGCATAGCGCATGCAGTGCAGTAGCCAGTGAAACGCAGAGTGCTGCTGGTACTTCCTACACTTGTTGGAAGTGGCCGTTCAGCATGTTCAGTGTGCATGTGGTCCGTACCGTGGCGTATGGACGTGAAATGACTGAATAGACTGAAAAGTGAAAGCGAACAACGAAGTGAAGCAAACCTTTTACTTGACTGTAGGCTCTGTAGTCGTTGCTTTTCCGTTCTGCTTCTTTCTGGTAAAGTAAGTAGTTAGTTATCGTGACCGTTCCGGAAGGGAACTCACGACGGCCGCTACTACGTACTACATGTAGTAGTAGTAGTAACACCCCGGTCCCGGTAAACCTACTTCTTTCTGGTGTTGCTGGTGAAATCGCTGCAGATCAGGTACACTTTTGCTTGTTGCGGAGTAGCAGGCAGCTAGCTCATTTGTGGAAAAAAAGACGGGAAGTAATTAGTTCTGTAGTTCCTAATCACCCCAGTTTGTCTAGACTGGACTTCACACCAAGGCACAGGGTGTCTGGGTGTTAGCTCTGTCCACCCGGTACCCTGCACGCACTCGTTGCTCACACATCCGCACACTCACTCATACGTCACGTGTACACCACTATTGAACACGTGAACACTGCCAGTGGGGGCCACCACAGCACAAAGACAAAAGACCTACTTCTTTCTGGTGTTGCTGGTGAAATCGCTGCAGATCAGGTACACTTTTGCTTGTTGCGGCGTAGCAGGCAGCTAGCTCATTTGTGGAAAAAAAGACGGGAAGTTCTGTAGTTCCTAATCACCCCAGTTTGTCTAGACTGGACTTCACACCAAGGCACAGGGTGTCTGTGTGTTATCTTTTAGCGAAACTGTGGGGTCTGACCGTACCTCGGCAGCCTTTGCGCATAATTATTACGGTATTCGTTACGATAATCACATTGACTGACATCGCGATCCCATTCAAGACCCCAATGACACGCTGCGCTGCGCTACGGCCTTGTGCTTTGCAGAGCTTGAACAAGCTACGTCAGGGTAAGTGTTGCGTCGCCGTGTGGTAGAATGACTACCCTCTGTTCATCCTGCGCCAGTGGAATGACAACTGTGCTTTCCCCAGGGCTACCCTCTGCTGTTGACTGTTGTCGTTTCGTGCACTCGCATCACGCGGGAAAATTCTAATACCGGTATGAAAAAATATACAATGCACAAAATAATAATCTGCGAGGAGATAATAATAATTGTAATGGGGAAGTACCGCACTGGCGCGATTAGAGCCCTCTGTTGAAAAGTGCCTTATCTTGAATAGTGTCCCAGTCTCTGAGAGCCGGTGAAAAAATAAAGCCCTCTCTTGAATAGTGCCCCCCCCCCCCCCTCCCGACATGGTAACCAAGCGCTTGTGCAAATTTGGTATTCTTTTGCTAATGTCCTTGTCCATGTCATTGCACTTGTGGTTTCAGGATCAAAATCGCAGATTTTGTTGCCGATTCTGTTGAGTCGAGACAGTTTACAGTAGCCTTCAGGCTACGTTGTTGCATTGTTTTTATGCTGACTCAAATGTACCAGCATTGAAAAAATAGTGCCCTCTCTTGAATAGTGCCCCATCTGTGATGGACATTGAAAAAATAGTGCCCCCGGGGCACTAAGCGCGCGAGTACGGTATACCCTAGAATCAATTTTTCACCAGCTATAATCTTCGGGGTGCTGCGTCGAATGGTCTTGGTTCAAGGAAGCTGAGATGCTCCCTTCCTCCTTTATTCCAAATCGAACTCGCCACTTCCACCGAAACTGGGTGACTGCGCTCTACTAGATGGGGATTTATATGCAAAATGTCACTAAAAGCCCCATTTCGTTCTTATAAAAGCACGGATGACCACGATTGTCCCATATGTTGTAGTCTTTTGGACTCTGAGTCGACTGGTTTTGGTCCAAAATGGCTGCAATGCAGCGTTCAGCCCTTATTCCCAATCAAACATGGTTGACTAAGCGGTAACGTTCTCGTGCGTACACCAGTTGCCTGGTTACCATGCATGCAGGGTACAACTCACAGCCTGTTTGGCCGCGTTCCTATCACTGGAGTTGAATTTTTGAACCTTTGAGTTGAACCGTGGTGTGAAAGTTGTAGCATATTACATACATAGGAAAAATAAATACACGTATAAATTTTAAAAAGCGCCCGCCCGCACCGGTTTCACATGGGTACTGCCCGGGAATCTCGATATTATTTTCGTCTCGCCTTTCGAATTTAGTGGTCACACCCGAACTAACTTCCGGGCGGGTACTGATTATTGGGCACAAACTAACTTTCGGACCTGACTTGTGTGTAGTGGAGAAGTCATTTTTCATGTCGATGTACATGCCACACGCTGCATGTACCGATGCTTATTTCGGGCAGTGTTTTTTTATCTGGCGGAACTTGACTTCAGCAGACAGTCAGAGTCAAATGGATGAAGGGGGTATCTACTTAGGGTAGGTACTTCTTATTTACGGACTTTTACGGGACGGTATACGCATAGAAAGTGGATCATAGGGTGAGTATAGGGCTTGAAAGTGATGACGTCAAAACGGCCAGGGAGTAGTAAGTTGACATCAGATTTCTATTTTTGGATCCACTAAGGTGTGACTTTGCTATTGCCTAAGTATGTGGGTGCATAGCAACCCACTCATGTCGCATGCAGGTGTGACTTTTCTTTCGCCACCAGTTGTAACCCCGCCCCCAGTAGCCAAATCAGTCAGTTTCACTGGCTACATCACCATGCTGTGGGTAAGACCGCTTGAAATGTGCTTGGATCCATACAAAAACTGGATCCAAGTGGATCCAGTTTTTGAATTTTTGAAATTGTTGCTATGCTGTGACGTAGCACTTTCAAGCCCTATTGGAGCAGGCAAGGATTGGGCAAGGAGTTATTGTATGGAACGTTGAGTGGGCTATGATCCCTCGAATTCGCATTGTCGTGTCTCCCTGTATTTTCTATTTTCGGTTTCTTTATTGTCCTGAATGGCATACGCGAAGTTCGCAAATCCGCTTACATTGTGAAGGTGCTAATAATATACGCATCGGGGAAGGATGCGCAGAGCTGATGTTCCCTTGCTCTGGCTCACCGTGGGCTCGGTGGGGAAGTGGCTGGTAGATCTTTTTGACCATCATCTTTTACCCGCTTCTGAAGAGGAGAGTTTC